TAGTATTACTACTACTACTACTACTACTACTACTATTATTGTTATTGTTGTTGTTCTTGTTCTTGTTGTTGTTGTTGTTATTATCATTTATAATTTATATATTTGACTTCCTTGTGATTTGATCCCGGTCTTGCTGGGTTATTTATTACTTCGACACTCCTACACTTGAGAGAAGACATCAATATTTTATTTATGTCAACAAAGATAAAGAGCCCGGGTATCTTAAAAAAAATTGATCATGGATCCACGACTAATTTTGAAGATCTGTTTATAAGGCATGAATAAAGAAAGGAATTTCTTCATTATGATGAATATAATATTGAAATTGAAAGTTTTAATAGTTTTAATTTCTTTATGGATTAGAATTAACCATGAAAAATCATTAAGAATTATGCTAAAGGGAAAAACTTAAATACAAAATTCTTGATTTATGATACCTATAAAAAGGGAAATAAATTAAATATGGTTCTAAAGATGATTTCTTATAAAGCACATGCAAATGATATGCCTTATATAAGATTGAGAAGAATTTTGAAATTAACGGGATTAAGATCGATGATTAAGCATTTCATATAAAAGTTTTGAAATAGATTTTTGAATTTTCTCATGACTCTAAGATTAGTTTCATTAATAAGAAGGATAAGCATGTTATTAACATATATGATGTTCCTAATAGAAAGATTGATTACATAAAGGGTTATAAAATTTTTATTGGAAATTTATAAAAATCAAAAAGAAAAAAAATTTGAACTCAAGAACAATTTCTCTCTAACATTAAGAGACTAATGCAAGATGATTTTCAAGGAAAACCATGTTTATTAGTTGTTGTTATTATTTCCTATTTAGCTTAAAAAACTATTTTTTTATATTTTTTTCCTATTTAGTTTTAAAAATTAAATATTATGCTTAATCATTTTACTTTTCCTAGTGTTTTTAAGGATATTCATTGCTTCTTTTTTTTCTTCTCATGTTTTTAAGTTTGTTTAGGTTAGTTTTTTTTATTTATTTAAAGAATTATAAACCTTTTAAAAAGATAAATTACTTGAAGAAAAATATTTAATAATAAAATTATAAATTAGATTATATGTGACAACCTTATTCGACTTCAATTTTGTTTGTTTAACTTGCTTTTTTGTTATTTATATTTTCTTTCATGTAAATATTATTCTAAAGAGATAATTATTTTATTAATACTATTTAAATTGAAAAAATCATGTAAAAATTAAAATTTATTACAAGAATATGAATCTAATAAAAAAATTTACATTATTGATGAAACATGATTTCTCTATATGTGGATTCAGACTTGATATATAATTCGAGTAACCCCACTTCCGATCAATAATATAAATTGTTTACAGGAGAGCTAAAGGGTTTTTTTTTTTCATTTTCTAATAGCCTTGCTAATAAAATAAAAATACATGGCGATGATACTCAAAACAATGATATGGGATAATAATAATAATTATATAACATATATCAGAGTACAAAGTTGACTTAATATCCATAATAATACATAAACCATGATTTAAAAAAATGTATATAAGATGACTCAGCATAATTGTATATTATCACACCATACTATATTTTGACTTATTAATATGCAGATCCATAACATTTTTTTAGCCAGTTTATGTATCAATCGACCCGATTCTAAGGACACAACTTCTATATTTTAGATATTTATCTCAAAGCTTTAATTTAAAAAAATTTAAAAAAAATATGATAGAAGAAACCAAGTTTCTTAACCATTTTCAACATATTGATAATATAAATTACTACGTTACACATTTAATATCACCTTAGATACAGTTTAACAGCATGGTTTGGATCATGTATTTCTAAAATTTTAGATATTTATTTTATATTTTTAAATTAAATTTTGTTAATGGTTTTTTATTGTTTTAATATACCGATATTAAAAATTAAAAATTTATAAAAAAAAAAATTTAATTTAATATATCTTTAATTAAAAAATATTTAAATAAATCTTACTCAATAATCTCAAACACGATATAAATAATTAATAAATTTGATAGAATTATTTCGATTATAGAAATGAATTATATAAATACACTCATGAGTTCGTTTGTGAAATTAGTAAAAATAGAGACAAGTTGGTATATCTAATATTTATAAAAAAATAAAAAAAAATAAGTAAAGGATGAGTTGAAAAGGCGTCCGAATATTTTAAATGGAGGAAAAAACTAGTCTAAAGGTTTCTCGCATTTGCAAAACGTTTTACGCAACTAGCAGTCGATTTCAATCATTTTTTTTTTTTTTTGTGTGCAGACACCAAATTGAATCTGAATTCCAAATCCTGTCGTCAGTCAAAGCATTCTGTCTGTCACACTTGACCTAAGGGTCTCCAGCATCTAGATAGGTGTGATCAAATCTCATCTCCACTAGCTTCTATTCAACTGAACCATGGTCACAAAACTTAATTTGAAAATGGATGGGTTCGTGTTTGATTGATACTGTAATGCAATTATATTTTATTTTTATTTTTTATAGTTTTGAATTAGTTATTGATATATTAAAATTAAATTTTTAAAAAAATATTATTATAATATATTTTCAAATAAACACATTTTAAAAAATATCATTTATGACTCTATCTTTGACCCAAAATTCGAGATAATATATCATTTGGTAAAGTATTTTTTAAAATTATTTTTATTTTAAAAAATATTAAATTAATGTTTTTAGATTTTTTTTGATGATTTTGTTGATATGTTAATATAAAAAAATATAAACAATATAATTTTAATATATTTTCAATTAATTTTTTTTTAAAATTACATTTCCAAATACACAATAAATCATTCCACTAACTCAATCAATCCCATATTTTGAGGCAGCCGATTATTAAGTTGATTGATCAGGCTGACCTTATTTTATAATAATTTGCTAAACATGTTATTTTTTGACTTGAAACGAAATTCAAAATAAAGGTATTAAAAAATTTATTTATTTAAATACAGTAGATGGGTGTAAAAGTTATGTTCTTAATAATTAAAAACATCTCAGAAGATTTAATCTCTGTTAGCACACATGCCGAGCTGGGGAGGATATCTCTTGTTAGCGAATAAAAAAAAATGATTAACCTAGTCACGCCAGGCCCTCGGTGAAGAAGAAAGGAAAGAGGAACATAAGACATAAACTTCTCCATAATGTACAGAGACGTACAGGCAATGCAATTTGCACCATTAAGCATCCAAAGCTCCTTAAAGTCCGGCTAGTTGAACGAAAAACATGCTCCTTAAAGTCCGGATTCTATCAATCAGTGTGTCCCCTGATGGCAGCTAAATGCCTAGCTTATGTTCAGCCAAAGTTGAAAGAAAATTGCTCGTGAAGCACTGGTCCAGTAACAAAGAGCTGACAGTCGAGTCGCTAGGAACGAAGATACTGCACCTGTCCTGATCTGAATCAGCCTCCAGCAACAAAATCAGATTTGAATTCTTCCTTTCTGAGTTCCTTTTACAGGTTGACTGCAACTCTACAAGCTATAACCATCCCTGTTGGAAGACAAATACAATGAACACTGCCTGCCTGTTTACAGTGCGTGCTCATAGTTTGAACAGAACCGATTATGATATTTTCTGAACCGATCACCAAACTTCATGTTAGAACTTCCAAGCGCTCAACTCAAATAAGCCTTCGTTCGAACTTACAGACTTGCAGGTTACAGCTACAGCAAGTATTAAGAAACAGAGTGTGTATACGATCGAAGGTGCTGATTCATATATATGTACAATTTGGTCAGAGAGAAGCTGGGTGTTATTTCACAAGAAGTTGATGGACTGTTTGGCATCTGCTTTCTAATAGAAAATGGAAATCGCTTCAAGGGAAACAACTATATATCATCTCCCTTTTCAGCAGAGTTATCACCATTAGAAGGAGAGACTATGTCTGCGGCCACTACCCTGTAAAGGAAAGCTAACATCCATCGTGAGTGACATGGAATAAATAATTAAAGAATCGAAAAGAAAAACACAAGATTTGAATTCGAAGAGTATAGTAAAGGAATAAAAGAAACAATAACAAAGAAGGATTTCAACGAATAACAAATTGGATAGTTCACAAGGAAGTGCCTGTGCAACTATTTTTATGGAAGATTCCTGAATACTCAAGCTCAGAAACCTTGAAAGGTCTCTTAAGACACCCTGGAAACCCCACACTTCCCCGGAGAGATGACAACATTAAGTACTGCCTATTATTTTTGAGATCCTCGAATATTTTTACTAAGCGAGTTACCATGCACGTATAGTTTATGAATTTAAATGCATGGAGTCCATCAAGAACAAATAATTAGATGTTAAGCATCAATTCGACCAGATCATCAGTGTGAAACCTGATCAATCAGAGACCTGAATCTAATACTGTAGACAAGACTTAGTATCATGGTAAGCTGAAAACAGCACGAGAATAGACATGATACCCAGGATCAGTAGACATGATACCCAGGATCAGTATTCATTGTAACTTGGCCCAAAAGAAACGTCCAGGAAGATTAAGGCAGGTCAGGCACTTGACAAATGACGGTAACTTGCATGGATAACCTGGCATAAATGCCAATGAACTCATTTTAAGTAGTGTTATGATACAATCTAAGCCAAAAATGTCAGTTAAATTAATCAAGATGCAGTAACTGCAATCATCATGCCTCTACCTGCAGTAAGTTCACAAATTAAATTAGAGGGACACCGAGAAGTTTCCACGCCTTGATGGCTCACTTGAGTCCACATGCATTACAAAGAGTTCTTGGACCAGCTGGCCCACGATGCATCACCGGAGTGGACTTTGAACCGATTCTGCAATGAGTCCATCGGCATAAAGCATCAGGAAAAAGATCTTTCTTATGCAGGATTTTCACCCCTTTTTTTTTTTGGAAATGACACTGTTAAAAAAAGGATGCTTGTGGATTAAAAAAATGAATCACCACTCGCAAAGTTTCCAGCATGCTATCATCTTGTCCAGAACCCTGCGTTGCACCGCAGCCAGAAGCAGCTGAGTCCCTTCATGAGAATCAGCCTTGGATGAAGTAAATTGACCCTTCTACACGCTGCATCTTGACAGTGGCCAAAGATGCAACGGAAAACACTTGGGAAGCTCATGAAGCGAGAAGATAAAATTAGAGAAAGCGATGAGTGGTTCTTTGACGGGACATCGTACCCATGCCATAGATTACACATGTTTGGATGGAAATGATGGAGGATAATACAACCCGGATGGAAGGATTGAGCATTTCTGAGCCCATATTGTTATTATGTTTTTATTTGAGTTTATTAATTATACTTAATTTATAATGTTTTGTTAGATAATTTTATTTAATGGTTTATGAGCTTGATTGTTGGTTTTGTTTAGGATTTTATTATTTTTGTGTTTTTTTTTCTATATTGTAAACAATTTTGATGAATTGAGAAAAGATCTCCTTCTCCTAATTTGCTCCTTTTCTTGGGCTCTTTCAGTGTTTTGAATTTTAGTTGTTCCTGCAACTAAACAATCCATATAAAAGAGCTTATTTAAATTCTCATAAACATCATCGATCATAAAAAAAAATTATATTACCATAAATAAATTTAACAATGACATAACCCAAAAAATTTCAAGTTTTTATCCACTCTTTTTTACTAATTAAAATAACAATTACTTTCACCAACAGAACACCTACCAGCCTCTTCACCAAACAAACAACAACGTCAGTTAACGCTCATCCAAACTAGCTACCCATACCGATCATCTCAATAGAATAACAATCATATATAACACATCATCAAAAACTAATCATAACAATTCAAGACATTGCAAATCCAACATAACACATCACCACTATGAGGTCAACAATTCATCACCCGCTAACAATCCTGACAATAACACTACAAAAATCTATCCTAATCACAGCTCCCTTGTTATATCACTCATGATAACCTTTTCATGATAACCTTTATAATGTGTTTTTCTCCTTTACAAACATTTTGATTGTCCAGCTCCATTGTTATTTTAGGCATTAGGTTTTGAGAAGGATGAGAAAAAGGATTGCCAAATTTCACCATGACTTTTCTACTTAAATCAACAATTATTTTATTTGTAATTTGTAATTTTTCTCTTTCATCTTAATTAAAAAAAAAAAAGTAATAGTAGCAAACAAGTTAACTGATAAAACATCACGCCAACACTACTGCATAAATAACAGTTATCATAATCCAACTGGTTTATCATTATCAGTACGCCTTTTAGTTAGCAAATCACTCAATTTTTCAATTCATTGAATTTTACTTCTCTAGTTTTGCGTTTGTTATTCAAAGTTGTTATTAATAATATTTTTACGCATATAAAATAAAAATAAAACCATCTTATAATTTTATCTGTTATAGTTTTTCTTATTGACCAACTTTGTCGTTTATATTCAGCATATGGTCCTCTTTATTAATTATGGATCTTTATCGAAACTAGTGGAAAGTTATGAATTTTTGTTTGATTAATCATTTACATTTAAAGATCTTATGATGCATGCTTATAATTTTTCTAATGTATTCTAGTTTTGATTAATCTTTATATTAAAACAAATAAAATTATCTTTATTTTTGTATTGTGTTTTTATTTGTAAAAACTATTGTGATCTCAAATCACATTTAGGCTAGTGTTGCATGCATTTGCAAGGTGGTTGTATAATATTCAATCCTCAGTCTATAATTAACATGGGCCCAACTCTTAGTGATATTCTTGAAGACCAAGTGACCAACTTGTCTGAAAGAGTTAAACCCACAGAGATTTTCTAACTAGAGCATCTTAAAATCAATAAAAATCTAATCAATAACCATTATAGGCAAGTTTACCATGTACACCACCAATATAACTATCAATTAAGTTACTCTAACTATGATAACTTCAATGAGAAAGTTATAAGATCTAGAAAAATTAAGGTCTTATAAGATTTAACAAAATTGAGACCCTTACTAGTGACAATCATCATAACCCTTGAATTTCTAATAAATAGGTTTGTGACATGGATCACTTCTTTAATTGATCAAACTTGTTCAAAAATATAAGAGTGAGATTTGTTATGATGAAGTTTATTGGTGATGTGAGCCTATAATAACCTATCTAACCCTTTAATTAGATTTATCTCAATATATTATTTTTATATTTTATTATGTTTTTATAATTACTATTTGTTTTATTTAAATCAAGCTAAAAATTAGAGCTTAAGGTAATAAATGATGCAAAAGAAAAATATACAGGTGAAGTTTGAAGATCTTACTAAACTAGTTTTAGAATTTCAATCATATTTTTTTCCATTAATCTTAAATTAAAACAAACTTTACAACAACAAAAATCTAACTCAAGTTCATATTTAGTCATTTTCTTTGCCAAATTGACAAAATAAAAGGAACTTATAATTTGTTCAAGAAATAATTTTACTCCAACTTTGAAGGAGCATAATTTAGTTATTTTAATTCCAAACATGATGAAATTATACCTAAAGTGAAGTCTACTTTAACATTGGATTCTAATCAATAAAAAAAAAAGTATATCAAAAAGGAAGCTATAATCAAAATAATAAGAGATAGTCAATGGCCTTTTGAAAAGGTCATCATATTTTACTTTTATACATTATAACTTGTAAAGGTACTTTAGGAGTTCTTTTAAGCACATTTCAACCATAATTAAGGTCTATAAATACATATTTTTTAGGTTAACAAAGAAGAGTTGTTTTTTTAGGACAACATAAAAAGAGCAATTTTGTTATATAAGTCCTTGGAATTCTTTCTCTTTGAACTATTTTCAATAAAGATTGAATTAAAGACTTTATATTATTCTAAGCTTCATTGTGGTATTAATCTATAAGCATATCTTTTTAATTTCATTGATGTCTTACACTCTTAAATCCATGTAGAAAGACCTCTACAAAACCTATTTAAAGTCATGGCCCATCCCCTCTAATGGTATATTTCATTGTACACAACATATTCATTAGTAAACTTATTTTCTTATCTAAGATTGTTAAATTCATATTACCTTCTTCTTTACTTTTTGTAAGCAAAACTTTCTCATTACTACTCATCAGAAATCACGTACAAATAATACATAAAATGATCATATCAAGTGATTGAAATAAGATTTGCCTAATAAATCCACTAATAAATTTGTTATATAACTATGTGAATTCAAACAAGAAAACAATTTATTAAGTTACTACATTAAAGATTAGATATACCAAATTAATATGTTAAAACCTAAACAAAGTATAATAGTAAAATTACATTTGATAATTCGCAAGCTCATTAACAAGTAGTCAAAATAGGGTTGTTATGTATTACATAAAGAATTACATTTATTAAGGAGTTGATTTAATCCTTAGTTGTAGTACGAAAATCTTAAGAATACAACCATGTTAGCATTCATATGCAATTCAACACTTGCTCTCCACTAGACAAAATTAATATAAAATCTAAGTAAACATTCTTATTTTAAAAAAAAAAAGCTTCTTTCAATATAATCCCTGTGGAATGACCTTGATATTTCTAATTTTATTGTGCTTAATAATGACAAGTTAATGGCTCCAAACTTACATTTTGGATTGAACATTAAATTGAACTAAACTTAAAATGAAAAACATGCAATTGATATTGTCTAACTTTATTGGGAAAGTGTTGAGAATTATTTAGAGATAATAGATAAACTTTCTATCACTGATTGGAATAAGATGAAACAAAAGTTATAAGAGAAGTACCTACATCAATCTTATATAACTAAATTTTTATATCAATAGAATAATTTCATATTAAAAAACAAGCCTACTAATGAATATGTAGCACAAATCTAGAAACAATGGTTTTTAATTTGTTAATTGTTAGGTGATTCACCCAATAAATCTAATTCTAGTAATACCTAACTTTACAGAAAATGAATCAGGTTGCCCCTATCAATGTACTGATTCAAGATATCATATCCTAGTTCATTGATAAAGCAACCTTATTTGAACTATTCTTGAATTACTAAATAGACATCGTAACATCTTGATCCTGATCTTTAAAAGTATTATTGAAGTTATTTTGAACTACACTTAACATTGTCAAGTTTCTTCGATACCAAGAGAGTTAGTAGGAAAACTAAATCCGAGCCAACTCCATCTAAAAAAAAGCTCTAAATTTAAGTGGAGAACTAGATTCCAAAGAACCATAAGAATTAAATTTGTCAAGAAAGGCATGGTTAAAAAATACAAACTTAAAAAACAAAGTTAACTAATTATTATTTGCATAAACTAAAGCATAATAGCTCCACCACCATTACTAGTACCAACATACATATCACTTCTTGCTACACCCTCTTAAACACCACCATCTTGAAATTGAAAGTTGCTAGGGATTATTTATGACTTATCTCCTTCATTGAAAATATTATTATCTTCATCTTTCTCATTCCCTAGTTAGACTTTTATACGATTCATTTGTATTGTTGTTATTATAAAACAGATCGATGACGGTGTTACTACTGCTTGCTCATTTGAATTAAATATCTTTTTTCATTGAATGGTGATTTAAAAAAGAAAAATAATACTAATAATAAAGGGTTTGTAAATAATATTTTAAAAAAGTAAAAGAAAACCAGTGTAAAGAAACTAAAGTTCTATGGAATGATAAAATAAAGTTAGGATCCTTAATTGAAAAGAAACCCTGGAATTTAGGGATTAAAATCACATCTTGTTTGGTTAAAGAGAAGAAAATGTGCGTGAGAGAGAAATTATATGAAAGAAATTAGGGATAGGAAATGTGCATGGAAATTAGGGTTAATTAGGGTTAATTGTGGTTTTGTGCCAACAGGGGTTAATGACTTCTTTAACACATGGATTGACGGGGCAAAAAAGATAAAGGAACCTACATTTATCAATTAAGTTTCAAAACAAAAGATTTTATCAATTATATCAATCAATTTTGATTGTTTCATTATTTTCATAATTGGATCTTTCTACCAATATTTTTTAAATATTTTTCATATAATATGCATGCTTTAAGTTGTAAAAAGATGTAGTTGTGAAAATAATTGTTGAAAAGATTAATTAAAAAGATGATAGAAAGAACTGATTAAAAATTGTGATGAAAGGTTTACATCTCGCTTTCCCTCCTTCCTTCCTGGAAGTTTATTTAAAAATTTTATATTATAATTGATGTTGGTATCATTTCTAATAGTAATCCTATATTTTTCTCATTTACTTGTTACTTTTACTTTTTCCATGTTTTTCTTTTAAATTAAGAAAAATCCATACATTTTATACATC